AACTTTCGTTACATTATCAACCAATTATGATTACAATGATGTGATTGTTATCAATCATTGCATGTCTACAATGATGTGATTGTTTATCAATTGTTTACATATCTACAATGATGTGGATTCTTTTCAGGCAAACATTGAGTCACTAGCGGGTGGCCATGAGGCCTCCTGAATACGCTGTAGAGTACAGAAGTTCATTGCTGTCAGGTCCCGGTAACATGCTCAGTTAGTCTTTTGCAAAACAGCAAACAAGCAATTCTCTCTGTCGTCGTGGTTAAGAGCGGCATGCACAAGGGCATGAGTACTCGCCAAGGGCTCTTTTTTATACCTAGTGCCAGAGGTATGCAATGTAAACCTACCCCCTAGTGGTGCATCTTTGTGCAACGTTCTATGGTTCCAATGATTTTTTCCTGGGTCTAATTTGATATGATCTGTCATGGTGGATGGGCTTCCACCGACAGCGTCACAAGTGTTGAATGACTTGGAAGTCATTTTTTCCATTAAAACCGAAATAATCAAGCACTTTGATCACTACAGCTGCTTAATATGCAACTCATGACAAATATGTTGTCATTTCGATTCAAAATATCACTGGCAGCCGAATTCACTTTCTTTATGCCCCTTACGGCGCCATCTATTAATACACTTTGGATCCTTTTTTGATGCCGTAGCGTTTTCCCTTCTTCCAGTATCTTCAGTTCAAATTTGAACTTATTGTGACGAGTGTTTTTTGTTTTTTTTTCAATTCCTTCTATTAGCTCACACTCTCCCTATATATTTCTTGTTCAAATATTCAATCGTTCATAAAATACTTTTTATTCATCCACTCAAATTAAAATACATTTTTTTTTAACTTGTAGTGGATGAGACATGATGCTAATATAGTTTTTTCAAATATTAATTCATTCATTAAATTTAATTAATTAATTTTAGTTTTTGTAGTTTTAAGTTGCATATATCTACCAATAGATGGCGCCAGATAAACATAAAAAAATGAATGAAAATTATTTATAAAGGACTTTCTGCAATAGAGTGAAAAAAATAGTAGGAATTGACTTTAAAATTTTTTTTTATATTACTTGTTTTACAGCATTTTGAAAGTGAGACTTTAAGTATAATCACCCATAGTGCGCCATTAATATTTTCATAAGGTTAAACTTCTCTCTCTGAGCCAGACACATCACCATCAAAAGAATAACACTTTGAAAAGGATTTAACAATTTATTATTTATCAATTCGGATTCCAATTCTATTTCTGATTTTTGTTATTTTTTTATCTATCTAACTACTGAAAAATCATGTGAATTATTTATTGCATTGTTTTTATATCTAAAATATTTTTAAAGATAACGTGGGGATAAGGAAAGGGAATATAATCCAACTATTTGTTTGCTCAATATTTTCTTGTTCAATTAAATTAAATGTTCAAACCCTTTTGTGAATAAATTTATTTTACTGTAACTAATCTCGATTTCAATTCTTAGTATTTTTTTTAATTTTTATTCTATAGTTTTCTTGCGATTTGATACGCCATTGGTGTAATTTGGCTGAAAGATTTATTGCCAAATTTTATACACAGACATGAATTAAACGTTACTGATTAATGTGAACAACATAACTGAGAAAGAGTTTGCCTTTTTTTTTGTCTTGCTGCCGAATTTGTTGCCACTAAATTAATAATGTATCATTCTTACAATTTAAATATATATATATATATTATTTATGTTTTAAATGAGCCAACGGCCATACCATGCTGAATATACCGGTTCTCATTAGATTACCGAAGTCAAGCATCATTGGGCGGTACTTGCAGGTGGGTGACCACCTGGGAACACCGCGTGCCGTTGGCATTCACAAATTTGGGACCTGAATGGCCAAGTGTCTAGCGCTCTGGCGCTCGGTGCCACAGGTTTCGGGTTCGAATCCCGGCGGTGCCATGGATGTTTGTAGTGGTTCGGAATCCACTTTAAGCCGTAGGTCCCGGTCTTCTATGACTGTAAGAGTGTCACGGAGCCAAAGTCAGGCTTCTACCTACGGGTGCCCCATCACAACAGAAGCTGCTTCCTTCCCCTTCAATCATGAGCACGTATGGGCTCGTGGGCTCGGCCAGCCAAGTGGGATAAGAAACAACAACAACAACATGTTTTAAATAATACAAATACATTGTTTGTATATATCATTGTATTATTTTAAAACTTGCTCAAAACATTTATTAGAGAAACTTCTCTTTTGCCAACGATGTTTCAAACAGAACAACAAGACTATTATTATAATTTAGCTGATCGCTAAATTTTATAAACAGACATGAATTAAACATTACTGATTAGTGTGAAGAACACTACTGTAAAAGAGTTTGCTTTTTTAATATTTATTATTTTTTATATATATATTTTTTTTATATTTATTTTTTTATATATATATTTTTCTTATATTTATTTTTAGGCTGTCTAATTTGTTGCTACTAAATTAATATTGTATCATTCTTAAAATTAAAAAAAATATTTATATTATTTATGTATTAAATTTTATTTTTCACATTTTAAATTACTTTCATTTATTTAGAATAAATTCACCAAACGATAATTCTTTAATCTTTACCATATTTTTTTATTTCGCAATTTAGATTATCTTTTGCTTTCTTTACACATTTCACAAATTGATATGTGATTTGTTCTATTTTTTTAATTTATTATTTAGGTTTAAAAATTATTTTTCACATTTTAAATTACTTTCATTTATTTAGAATAAATTCACCAAACGATAATTCTTTTTAATCTTTACCATATTTTGTTTAACAATGCTTTCGCAATTTAGATTATTTTTGCTTTCTTTACATTTCACAAATTGATATGTGGTTTGTTCTATTTTTTAATTCTATTATTTAGGTTTAAAAATTATTTTTCACATTTTAAATTACTTTCATTTATTTAGAATAAATTCACCAAACGATAATTCTTTAATCTTTACCATATTTTTGCTTTCGCAATTTAGATTATCTTTTGCTTTCTTTACACATTTCACAAATTGATATGTGATTTGTTCTATTTTTTTTTTTTTTTAATTCTATTATTTAGGTTTAAAAATTATTTTTCACATTTTAAATTACTTTCATTTATTTAGAATAAATTCACCAAACGATAATTCTTTAATCTTTACCATATTTTTGCTTTCGCAATTTAGATTATCTTTTGCTTTCTTTACACATTTCACAAATTGATATGTGATTTGTTCTATTTTTTTAATTCTATTATTTAGGTTTAAAAATTATTTTTCACATTTTAAATTACTTTCATTTATTTAGAATAAATTCACCAAACGATAATTCTTTAATCTTTACCATATTTTTGCTTTCGCAATTTAGATTATCTTTTGCTTTCTTTACACATTTCACAAATTGATCTGTGATTTGTTCTATTTTTTAATTCTATTATTTAGGTTTAAAAAAATTATTTTTCACATTTTAAATTACTTTCATTTATTTAGAATAAATTCACCAAACGATAATTCTTTAATCTTTACCATATTTTTGCTTTCGCAATTTAGATTATCTTTTGCTTTCTTTACACATTTCACCGATAATATCTTCCAACAAAATTTACCAAATTTTTTTGTTGCCTAGCAACGCCGAGTCATAACTGTTGGAGGCGGCATAGACTCAGTATCATAATTATTTAATAAAGATATATATCTGGCGTTACCATGTGAGACCATGTCCTGGTATGAGGTCCGTGGCATCGTCAAAGAGCACGATGAAAGAAATTATGAGAGCACATTGTGATCGAAACTTGCACTTAAAATAATTAAAACATTGATAGAATACTGGCATATATACTTTTCAAGTGATCTGGAGAGCCGAGTGTCTACCGCTCTGTGCCACAGGTTTGAGTCACGGTGATGCCATGGATGCTTGCAATGGTTCGGAATACACGTTAAACTGTAGGTCCCGGTTGATTCCGAATCACTAATAATTACCCTAAAGTATACACAAAATGACCGTAGAGCGACAAACCAAACCAAATTTCCATTGGCGCAACAACCCCATGGTGTGCCAAGGCCGTCTGTCTACTGGCAGATTTCGGGACCGGAGATATTTTTCTTTTTACGGCTTTAGAGTAATCAGCCCTAGGCCTAACGCTCTAAAGTCATATTAGACTAGGGGGATGGTTGAGTGGCTAGCGTTCTGGCACTCGATGCCACAGGTTTCGGTTTCGAGTCCTGGCGGGACCATGGATGCTTATAGTGGTTCAAAATTCACTTTAAACCGTAGATCCCTATCGTAAATGACTGTAGAGCGTCACAAACCTAGTCAGAATTCTCGACCACATCATTTCCAAACTGTGTGTAGTAGTAGTAGTAGTTATTTAACATTGTTTCGCTGGGAGCTAGGTGAGGTTTAATTCCAGTCGATTGAACTCTTTGGATAGGGAAGATTTCTTTAACAGTTGATTTCAGCAGTTATTTGACAGTGCTTCACAGACTTGGTGCTAGGTGGAGTTTAACGCCAATCGAATATATTTTTCAGATAGCATAGCTTTGATATTACCAGCTGTGGGGCCTGATGGCCGTGGCTAAAGCTCTGGCGCTTGGTACCACAGGTAACGGATTCGAATCCCGGCGGTGTCATGGGTGTTTGTAGTGGTTCGGAATCCACTTTACACCGTAGGTCTCGGTCTAATAGGATCGTAGGGCGCTGCTGTAGCATTGTTACTCCGCGTCCGTGGCTTATCTTCAAGTTACACGCCCCCCAGGGTAATGCAAAGTGAGTAACGTCTGTGCAGCTCTTGCCTTAAGGCATCCAAGACAGCTGTATAAATGATTTAGGGCCTGAATGGCTAGAGCTCGGTACCACAGGTTTCGGGTTCGAGTCCTGGTGGTGCCATGGATGTTTGGAGTGGTTCGAAATCCACTTTAAACCGTAGGTCCCGGTCCTAAGAGGATCGTAGAGCGTTGCGGGGGCATTGTTACTCCGCGTCCGTGGCCTATCTTCAAGTTACACGCGTCCCTTGGGTAGTGCAAAGTGAGTAACGTCTGTGCAGCCGTTATGGCATAAAAGATCACGGTCTATACTTGCCAACTGCATTAAAAAAATATATTAGAGAGTTTTTTTGCATACCGTACGTTAGTTACCGTAGGACGTCTGTTAGCTATTTCTCCCTAGCGAGCATGCTCAGTTTCCTATGAGCATGCGCGCTAGGGAGAAATAGCTAACAGACGTCCTACGGTAACTAACGTACGGTATGCAAAAAACTCTCTATTACCCTCTGACTGGAACTCCTATTAAAAATTCTACTCTTTGAGAGGAAAGATGATTTAGTGTTCATCTAGATTTGCGTTAAATTAAACTCCAGTTAAATTCAATACTCGCATTCGAGACTACATTATTTTTATATTTTTTAATTCCATATAAGTTTAGCAGGTTTAAATCTTAGAGCATTATTATTGAATATTTCTATCTCATGATAGTTATTGTTTATTTATTGGTTGATTTTTTTGTATTTTAGTATTTTTAAATTGGTTTTGCTTGATTAGATTATATATACTTATACAGAGAACAGTTTGCATATGATATTGCTGTAATATCTTATAGTTATATTACATAATACAAAACAGATATAATATTAAATAACGCACATATTTTTTCTTAATTCTAATTCATCCATTTTATTATATTTCTTTTTGAAGGAAATTTGTGGAAATGAAGAATGTTAATTAAAATCGAGGAATCATGAATAATCTTTGTTTGTTATATTTTGAGAAATAATGGACACAACTTTTTTTTTCTAAAAGCAATAATATGAAAGCATTTATAAATATGGTCTTATTTATATATTTTTACATATATTGAAATTTATAAGCAGATTTCACCTTTTAATATTAATTTTTTATTTTAGCAAAATTATATTTCTGATTTATCTTTTAATTTAATTTTGCATTCAGAACATTCACAACTGTTAACGATTTAACGATAAGCAATACTATGAAAGCGTTTTTAAAAATGGTCTTATTTTTATTATTGCATATATTGAAATTAATAAGCAGATTTCATCTTTTAATAATAATTTTTTATTTTAGCAAACTGATTTATGCTTTAATATATTTTATTTTAATTTAATTCTCTTTTTTTAATGCACTATTGTGCCCAAAAAGTAAAACCAATTTCTAATTTAAATTTCCTGGGTATATAGAATTCAATTTTTTTTTCTTTTTCAGGTTGTTAGCATTGTTCTTGACATCTGTGTGAAATTTGCCGTCAAAATATTCAGTAGTGTTTGAATTACGCTTGGCTTTGTGAGACGCAAAGAGCGATTTCGGCGATTTTTGAAATGTCTCAATTAATTGAGCAAAGAACTTGCATTCAATTTTGTTTGCGGAATGAATATTCGTGTGCGGAAACGTATAGAATGTTGCAGAAGGCATTCGGGGAGCAAATTATATCGGAAAGAAATGTTTAGAAGTGGTATAAAAAGTTCAAAGAAGGCAGAGAACACGTTGAAGACGAATAGCGCTCTGGCCGACCATCAATCTTAACCTACGAAGCTCACGACCAGAAATTAAATATTTGGTACTTGCAAACCGTCGGTTTACTATTAGAGACCTTGCTGATGATGTTGGAATTTCAAAAGGATCGGTCAATCTATTCTCAAACGCTTCAAATCTCGAGTTGCATCGAAAACATTGAATGCTCCAGCTCACACTGCATTGATTTGATTCTTCGTGACATTTTTGCCAAAAATAAAACCCATATCGTTCCACAACCACCGTATTCCCACCGTGCGACTTCTGACTATTCCCTAAACTCAAAAGAACATTCCGAGGACACCATGAGTCGATTGAAGAGATTCAACG